AGCAGCAGCAGCAGCAGCACTCACGCTTCAGTCTATGTGTACAGAGTGGCAATTATAAACGTTGTTGTTGAGAAATCACGACTCCAATCTGAGTGCTAGTGACGTGGTGGGGTGCGCGGGAACTATATGTGCGCGGAAAGCAGCAGCAGCAGCAGCACTCACGCTTCAGTCTATGTGTACAGAGTGGCAATTATAAACGTTGTTGTTGAGAAATCACGACTCCAATCTGAGTGCTAGTGACGTGGTGGGGTGCGCGGGAACTATATGTGCGCGGAAAGTATATGGACTAGCTTACACGAGCGTGGGAGAATCGCGAATACACTTGTTAACGCGGGTATTAAGTCCTCTTTTACTAATTCGAGCGTGGCTAGGCTTGCTGCTGTGTAGGTGATTACGGTTTAAGAAGTGTGTGTCGCGTGCCTTTTTGTTCAAGCTGGTACATCGAGAGTGCAAGGCTAAGGCGCAAGCCATCCCGTTTATGTAGTGAGACTAGCTGTGAGGTTTTCCAAGGCATGCGAGCGCCATAAATGGGTGTGAAGGCTTCAGTAAAGTGGCGTAGAATAACATTATGCTGACAGGCTTCTACATCATATCTAATCAATGCTTGAAAGCGTCCATCTCGATAATATCGCGTCTGCGCTCGCTTGTAACTGCATGCTTTTGGTCAATGCGTGGAGTGGATCAGTATACCAGTGTCTTTAAAATAGAATGGCAGGGCCATTTGATGAGCACATCACCGAATGGGAAGTTGACAAGCAAGTCTTTTGACTTCGATTGAGCACAATGTGACGGTGATGAAAGTGAGCCAGCGTGTAACCACTTGCCACTAGCTTGGCCCGCTCCCAATTGAATCGAGGTCGACTGCAATACGAGATCGCACTTGTAAAGATGACCCTTCTTTTTTCTAGAATACTGCTGATGGAGACGCAGGCCTACAATGTGATCGCTTAATGGGATAGTTAAACTATGATAAGCCTACGGAAAGCCTCACCTTTCCAGAGAAGACCTGAAGATTCGACCTCAATCGTCGAGAACAGCAACGACACGTGCCACGCCGGCTACATTGTGAGGACTATAGCATGGATGGGTTTGCGCGCTCGCCGTTGAACTGGCAGCCGCCCAGGAAACGCTCGACGAGACGCATGACACTCCCAACTACAAACCCCATGACACAAATATATACGCCTCTGGACGGGTTGGGGAACACAATGTGGTTATTGCTTCTTTTCCAGAAGGACAAATGGGCACTGACTCAGATACTGAAGCCGCAATACAGATGCAGTCGACGTTCCACAATACGCGCTTCGGTCTGATGGTAGGTATTGGAGGCGGTGTTCCCAGCGAAGAAGCCGATGTCAGACTTGGGGATGTCGTGGTCAGTAAACCACAGAGGGGACACAGGGGAGTGGTACAATACAACTTGGGAAAGGCTACATCGGACGGTATTCATCAGACAGGATCTCTGAACGCTCCACCCAGGGTCCTACTCACTGCTGCAACCGCTGTTCGCGCTGCGCACATAAGAAAACAGAGCAGACCCCCAGAGCATATAGCCAAGCTTGAACAGATCCCCATGTTTCAACAGGACAGAGGGGGTCCCAACATCCTGTTTGCCGCAGATTACAGTCACATACGTTGCTCAGCGTGCGTAAGCTGTGATCTTTCAAATCAGGAGTTGCGAGAGACACGCGAAAGTGGCAAGGAAGTGGCAGTGCATTATGGCACCACCGCCTCAGGTAATCAAGTTATTAGGGACGATCACTCGAGTCAAGAGCTTGGAACAGTGTTGTGTTTTGAAATAGAGGTAGTAGTGCTTATGAATAGATTTCCGTGTCTTATCATCCACGGTATTTTCGATTATGCCGATTCGCACAAAAATAAGCGGTGGTAGCTATACGCAGGCGCAACGGCCGCAGGGTATGCGAAAGAGTTGCTTTTGGTAATATCTGCATCAAATTTGGGTTCTGCGCGTACTGCAGAAGGGATTATGTCTGGCACCACTGGTCAGTGCATTCCAGGTGTGCGCTCAAGCAATGCAAGACTGATCTTTGAACAGGCTTGCGCCTAAATTCTAACTCCCCAGCTGGTCAAGATACGCCTAATGAGCTTTCTAAGTGGAGATTCACTTTTAACGTGTAGGTTTCCCATTATTGCTTGTAACGTGGTTAGTATACTAAATCTCGAAGTTGACGCTCCCATACTCTGAACAGCAAAGGTATGTTGTTAGACCCCTTCGTGTATCACCATCACTAATTGCGTCCTATATCTGTAGAAGATTCATGCTAGGAATAAGGTCAATAGCCCAGTCTCACAATCAGAACGCTACATTTATTCTACGTAGAGTGCCTACGGTCACTCGCATTTCCCGAACAAGAGCAGAGGTATCACAGCATTCACACAGCTACCGACACCTGCCATTGGCTACTTGCAAACCCTGCATATTGCAGGTGGACTTAATATTCACGCGGTCTGTTCTGGATAAAGGGACATCTAGGAACTGGAAAGTCTGTGCTTACTAAGTTCGCACTCACTACATTACAGGAGGCGCGGCCTAAAGACGTGATTGTGTCTTTCTTTATTAATAGACAGGGGATCAAGCTGCAACGCACCTCACTGGGCATAGTCCGCGCTCTTCTAAACTCTGTACTAGAAAAGTTCCCCAAATATCTTACTAAGCTTACGAAGGTCTTTAAGGATTGAAACAAACGCTTTCTCGCGTATCTTAACAGAGAGGTTGACTTCATAAGGAGTCGTTGTTTTTCTTGATGCTCTGGATAAATGTGGGAAAGGGCCTGCGAATGCTCTATTGACTTACTTCAACAAACATGCAGAGACGAAGATTGCGAATTTCAAGATCTGTGTTTCATCAAGGCATTATTCAATTCTTAGTCTTGAATACAGCCCGTCCGTGATTGTTTAGGAGCGCGACGCCAAGGACATCCATATGTATGTCAGAGACCAGCTCAAAGAGATTCAGTCAGACTCAAAACGCGAGCAAATCCAGTACGGCATTTCACAAAAGGCCAAGGGAGACTTTCAATAGGCTCCTAGTCTGATACTCTTAACGCGTTTAAGAGGCGCGTTAAACACCTTTCCAATAGTCTCGTGTTTCAAACTCGTGGGCTTTGGGAATTGCACAATCCTAACGACGGATGGAACCAAGAAGCGCATCTAATTCATTAGTTAGTGGCCGATTTTCTACTTGACCGTCTACTCAAGAGCATATTTACAACATCTGCACAAATGACTCCAACCTTGGCAGGAGCAGGTCATTTTCGGATCTCAAGGTTGTGCATGCGATACATGATCCTAGATGAGGTCCTAGAAGTGGTGAAATTGCCTTAAGTGTTGCTTTCATCAACATTTCCGCTAGCTCCATACGCAACGCAATACATGTTTCAGCATATTTAGGGGGGCGGAGAAGGAGGGAAATGCTTAGCATTATCCTCTCACACCTATGCAGTAGATATCAAGCTCGGAAGCTTCACAAAAGCTTACCTGCTTGTGGAGAGCTCTTGATCCCGACAGTGTGCATGCGCTGATGGGTTTGCGGTTCTCAGGTGCCACAGCGCTGCACATTTTGGCAGCTTGAAGGTTGAAGAGCGCGTGTTCCGCCGTCCTTGAGACTAACCCCAAGGAGAACTATCGCTTGGACTCAAACAGCAACAGTCCACTGATGCTAGCTATCAGGGAGGGTCATTACGACCTGTCCTTTATGCTGCTGGATCTGCATGTCAAAAGATGGAGTGTGCTTCTAAAAGACCCTCAGGAAAGAACCGACCAAAATGAAGCCAAGGAAACGCGAGCCAAGGTCGCGGCGGATATGAATGTCGCCAACAATGAAGACAACACAGCATTGACTATTGCCCTTGACCAAATGGCTAGGGAGATTGTACTACAAATACTACAAGCAGGCGCCGAACTCAACGTGGTGCAGCATAGCAGGTTAGTCTCGCTCACCATTAGCAGTAAAGATACGCCGCTCTTGGACCTTGTCATATCCAAGAAGGTCAGCTTGGATGGTGCTGTCTACTACGCCCTGGACAGCAGACTAGGCCTGGATTATCAATATCTGCTCAATCTTTTGTTGAAGCTCATCAAAGCTGAAGCAAACCTAGTCCAATTGGAAGAACTTCAAGACGCTACATTGCCCAGATTCTCACCTACAGAGGATCGTCATGCCATCATAGTGGCGTCTAGAAGAGGCATAACCAACCCGGTAGATATGCTGCTCTCTTCCAGCGCGTCAACCACCGATCGCAACAAGTACAGAGAATCTGCCCTCCTCGTGGCTGTCAGATATGCACAGCTGCTCCACGAAAATGCGCCGACAGCGGTCAACATCGCGGATGACAATGGTGCTACGGTTTTGAGCAATCATTAGATACTACGCCAGAGGTGCTAGATCTTCTTTTCAACTAAGGTCATTTTCAAGATCAAGAACAAGCTCTAAAAGACCTGTACTTTGAGATCTGTCAATGCAGTTCAGTCGACATGCTGATAGCTGTGTTTCAACAAGACAACTTCCAGTCGAACTTTGAGGATAGCAACAGGTGTACGCCATTGTCTGTTTCCGCTGCACAAGGGGTTGAGGCAGTTGTCAAGATTCTGCTCAAGACTACTATTGTCCATGTAAACTAAAAGGATTCGAGCGGACAATCTCTGTTGTTAAAGGCGGTAATCAAAGGTCATCAGACCATAGTTGGGCTGTTACTCAACAAGGGCGTGGACCCAACAATCGCCAACAAAGATAGACTTACACCTCTCACGTCTGGAGCGACTAAAGGTCACCTCAATGTAGTGGAGTGCCTCCTCCAGAAAGGCGCTGACGTAAATGCACCTAGAGGGTCATATGGCAACTCACTCTAAGCAGCTTCGACCTACAGCTACAGAGAAGTTGTGCTGCTGCTAATTGATAGTAGAGCTGACGTCAGCGCTGAGGGTGGAGCACTTGGTCTATCTCCTCATGGTACTGCGCTCGCAGCTGCTTTATTTCGAGGTCATCAAGACATTATGGAGCTTTTGCTCGATCGTGGAGCAGACGTTAATCAGATTGTTTTGCGCTACAGTACAGCTCTAGGGGCTGCTTTAATAAAGGGACATAAGGATGTAGTTAGTTACCTGCTCCTTAAGAGTGCGGATATCTACAGAGAAGGTAGCTATTTTACAAATGCAATCACGGCCGCTGCTTAGGGGGAAACAGAGACATCCTCTAGTTGCTGCTGGAGAAAGGTGCAAACAACCACGCATCAGGCAAATTCTTCGCCAACGCTCTGGCCGCCGCAGCATGTCAAGGCAACATGGAGATTGTAGAGCTGCTCCATTCCAAAGTTACAGACATCAATTAACCTTCTTACCTAGAATGTGGCTGCCTCTACCTTGGATGCGAAGGGGGGACAGTTTTGTAATTTTTGCAGCATCCAGCGGGTCATCGGAGATCCTTAAGCTGATATTAACACCATGTAAACTCGCCGCCCCGCATAGGAGCTGGAGTCCTCTCTATTAAGAATGTAGGGCTGACAGTATTAGAGTTATCAAGTCACTCATCGCGCAAAATTGGAGAAGCCGAAGTGTTTTTGTTCTGGAGATGCAAGACGCTTTCACTCCCCTTGATATTGCGATTATTCATGGCCATGTGCTAATCCTCCAGAACTTATCTGCATCGGCGCAGGCAGTGCTTAGTTTTGACAATGACCATGTTGTTCCTGAGGGGGAAGAAAACGGCGGTACTACTTGCAATAGATGCTTCCATGTAAGTCTTCGACTATGCACACATGCAACCGAATTAACTGTGTGGCAGTACAATTACGGCCCGCGCTTTCATTGTCATGCTTGCATCCATTTTAACTACTGCTTTATGTGAAAACCTGTCTATGGAGTTTTGCATCAGGATCACAACGTGGAACGAATAGACCACCTGGATCCAACAAATCATTGGAAGGGTCAACCTTGATATCACTTCAATATACGCTTCGAATTCCAGCGTCAAGCGTGCTGTACTTACCAGAATACCTGCCCCAATGTTTTGTCACAGTTGACGCTGTACGAGCGGTCTGGCACCTTTCGTATTTCGTTTTTTTAAGGCAATTCCTAGCTTTCCTAATGCGATCAGCTGTTGGGTCTGCCCTTCAGACTCCTCAGCAAGTAGAAAGTATTAAAGCATCCTAAGCGGGTACTGATATCAGCTGTGTCTTATTGCATTCTTTCGCAGAGAGGATCGAGATGAGGGTGTCGCAGGGACGTGGTGAGGATGCATATCACATGATCAGCGTCTCGATACTCGGCCGATCGGATACTAATTAGCGGACCACCACGACCACGTAATAGAGACCGGATACAGCTTGGAGCTGTGATAAGGGCTGTGATCACGGAACAGCTGGATCAGCATTTGTGTATATGTTCTGCTCGTTCAGCAACACAGATAGAACAAGGAACTTGATCACTTTCTTCACACTTGATCAACGATCAGAGTCTGCTCAGTTTCCACACATTCATACTTCTTGATACATATGTGAAGCACTCCGCTTTAGCGAAAGCGGATATAGCGACCCTGGCTTCTCTGGTGCCAGCCTGGTGGATCAGGTTTGAGTGTCTTACCTTGATTGTGCCTTGCACATCACCAAGGCCGATTAAACCCAATAACCTTGCTCGCCCAGCGCAAAGCCTTAAAGAAAGTTGCTAAAATGTTTCAGACGTTTGAAACAAGAGCCGCCACATACTGGAGCCCCAAGAATAGGTAGTATAGCAGTAGAGATGTTAGGCCGGGCATGTGGCAAAGTCCACCTCTGACCTGTGTCTAGTTGACGATGTCAATACTGTTCCAGCACAGGCTGACCGTCCGTGTGAGTCATGATACCTTTTTGGCTTGCTTGCATTGGTGGCCGAAGCTGAGGCTTGACACAATCTGCTCGTGTGAAAGATATCTCCTGGACTGCTGGCCGAAATCGGCCCTATTCAGTTCGCTTTCTCCGTCGGTCTGCCCCTGTGAGAGTTATCCCCTGGATTACTGGCCGAAGTCGGCCCTATTCAGTTCGCTTTTTCTGTCGGTCTGCTCATGTGAAAGATCTATTGGATTGCTCGAAGCCGGCCCTATTCAGTTCGCTTTCTCTGTCGGTCTGCCCCTGTGAGAGATATCCCCTGGATTACTGGTCGAAGCCGGCCCTGTTCAGCTTACTTTTCTGTTAGTCTGTTAACCTATCGTAAAAAAGGCATCTCTAAGAGTACAAGCGAAAGCAGTGCTATTTTATTTTAAGATTGTACAGGGTATGTGTTGGTTGGGTGCTATCCGCAACCAACGAGCTGGTTCGGCCAACGCGCCACCCGGACATTGCAACATTGAGAATCGTCCCATCTTCGACGCGTCATAAGACCACCATAGTAAATCCAATTCAAGAAGCGATTGAACATATTTCAAATTATTTGAAGATGACGCACTCTTCTGGTAATGCAAAGTTGCAAAAAAGTTGATAACATACCCCCAGGCGAGTCGGTCACACGGGCGAGTCGGTCACTTGATTTTGCTTTGGAAAATCAACAATCCAAGGCTTCATAGCTCTTTATCTACTGGACAAAATCTTTTAGTAACCCGATAGCGTACCAATTAATACACTTCTGTATTTAATACTAATCTAGAGTGTTGGGTTTCTAGATCGCAAGGGAAAAAAGTTATTGAGGATTTAGATAAGAGACGCTAAAAGTCTTTAACAAAATAAGATAAAATTAGCTACGATGTACATGGTACCGATATCAGCAACAACCGGCCTGTTCCATAGCGTTAGCATTTCCAATCGCATATCTTGTATTTTCCTTCTAAACTCACACTGCATGAACTACCACAACCAGATGGGCAAGAACACGGCGGTGAGAACCCATTGGAGCAGCATGACGGGAATTGTCTGGGGATGAGGTCGGTATCTTGAATGTTACGAATAGTGTTGTCCTCTTGTAGGACGTTAAGTGCGAGAGAACTGGCACAAAGTGCGGAGATGATAGCAAAGAACTTCATGATGTCTTCGTTGAATATTTTTCTTTGATAGTTGTGTTAAGGAAGGCGATAGAGAGGATAGGAATTGACTGCAAATAGCAAGAGCGACGACCACCTTATAACCTCAGAGAAGTCTTCGTGTCACGTTCTTCTCCGGAATCTTCAGGCTGCCGTTATCGAGCTGACGTGGTTCTTGCTTGTAGCCTCATGCTATAACTGACAAGGGGCGAGCACGGGCATATTAGAATACAAAATTGCTGTTCTACGACAAGTCTCCTTGTAAAAGACTAACGGGTGCTCAGTGCTGGCCTATCATATTCTCATTCGCATGCTCCGTACTTGAACCTCTGAAGTCTGTACCGAAGGGCCTTTCATTAGGCCCGAATGTAGCCCCGCTTAGTCTCGGCCATTTATTTAACGATGTTACATGACTCCGACTGCAGGGAGGTACTTGTTTGCGGTTGCATCTCATCGATATATAATGCTTGTGGGAGCTATAGCCCAGTCGATGCGGTCGACTGGTCTCCCCAGAATATTGGATTTCGTACTTGTTGAGTAGTCGCCGCTCGAAGTCACCAGGAGCTGTCGCATGAGCTGGCAGAAATAGAATAACAATGTAGTTAACCTGTTTTATCAGTGAGCGCCCCACCTCAGTGAGCGCCCCACGAACACCAGCAAAGCGCATGCGCGACACTCAACGCGTAATGTCTCAACAACCACAACCTCACAAGCCCTATACTGAAGCTGACGTGCAGCTTGCCCTCTCTGACATTAAATGCGACCAGATTACAAGCCTGCGACGTGCTGAGGCAGTCTACAGCGTTCCTTGTAGGATGATACAACAACAACGTGACGGGAAGCCCTCTAGATGCGACTGCGAGCCCAGATCAAAGCGCCTGACAAAGCTAGAAGAGGAGGTAATTCTGCAGCGTATACTTGACGAGAACCTACGTGGAGTACCGCCCTCAAAGCTACACGTACAAGATATAGCTGATAGACTGCTGCGCGACTGCGGCGGTGAGCCTGTTGGTAAATGCTGGGTTGACAGGTTTATTAAGCGTACACCTGAGCTGCGCACGCGCTGGACTTGTCCATACAATCACCAGCGAGCTCTCTGCGAAGACCTAGCGATCATTAAGCCCTAGTTCACGCTAGTTCAGAATATAAAGGCGAAGTATAGTATTGTGGATAACAACATATATAACTTTAATAAGTCTAGCTTCCTAATAGGCAAGATATCTTCACAACTTGTTGTAACAGGCATAGAGAAACCTAGGAAAGCGAAGAAGCTTCAGCCTAGTAATTGCAAGTAGACTATGTTAATACAGGGCGTCAGCGCAACAGGGCGTGTTATCCCACCCTTCCTCATCTTTGCTGGCAAGGTTCTTATCTCTAACTAGTTTACTAAGGACCTCCTACGCAATTAGGTTATTTAAGTAAGCCTAACAGGCTAGACAAACAACAATCTAGCGCTTGCCTGGCTTAATTACTTTAATACGCATGTGAGGCCTGTAGGAGCGTATAGGCTGCTGATTATTAACAGCCACAAGAGCCATTGCTTGATAGATTTCCAGGATTGCTGCAAGGAGAAGAAGATTATTGCCCTCTGTATGCCTCCACACTTGTTGCACCTCCTGCAGCTGCTTGACGTCGCCTGTTTCTCGCCATTGAAGCACGCGTATGGTGATCAGATCTCAGCCTTGGCACGCAATTGCATTAACCACATCAGCAAACAGACCTTCTTACCAGCCTTTAAAGTAGCTTTTAAGAAGGCGTTTACAAGAGAGAATGCTTGCGCAGGGTTTCGAGGCGCTAGATTGTCTCCACATAATCCACAGGCTGTGTTATTAAAGCTGGATGTGCAGCTGCGTACGCAAACTCCACCACAGCAAGTCAACACCACTTGGGAGGCGAAAACACCACGCAACGCTAAAGAAATGGAGGCGCAATCAACACTGGTTCAAAACAGGATGAAAATCTATCAAGGGTCTCTAGCAAGTTTACTTAATGAGCAGGTGCAGCAGCTGACAAAAGGCGCGCAGCAGATGGCTTATAAGATGGTGTTAATGCGTGCAGAGATAGTGCGCCTTAATACTGCTACTAAAGCAGCAACAAAGCGTAAAAGTTGCAAGAGACGCTACGTCTGGGCAGAGGAGACATTAACAGTTGGCGAGGTATCAGACTTAATTACTGAAAGGGAGGGTGGCAGATGTGAGGAGGGTGAGGAGCTGGCGAAGAGGGTGCGCGCAGGGCGACGCTGCAGCTGTTGCAGTGAGATTAGGCACAACTCTTGCACCTGCAAGGTAGAAATTAAGGATATAAATAACAGCGACGCTTCTAAATAATACTATACTGTTGCAAGAGTACAAAATTTGTGTTGTGGTGCTAAGCTACGTCGCTGCGCGTACGCCTCGCTGGTGTTCGTGGGGCGCTCACTGAGGTGGGGCGCTCACTGATAAAACAGGTTAACGTAGAAGAAGACGAGAAGCTTATCCTTCTTCTACATGCATGGTGCATCTTTGACTTCGCACAGTCCGACTTCAGTAAGGGTTTGGCTAAGCTCTTTGTACCAGAGTAGTGGAGATTTCTTGAGAACGTACAGCGCTCGAATGAGCTTCCACAAGTGGTGTTACATACGAAGTGAAGCTTCGTGTAGAGGTCGACAGCATGAAAGACATGGATGGCCATTGTAAGCAGTTGTTTTAAGCTTGATGAGATCGATAGTCGCCCTGTCTCGTGACCGATTCGGCGCAAGATTATTTGATCGCCTTTATTTTGCGAGCATTGTTCACGGTTGATTGTCTTCGGCGAATCTTCTGTTGGTGGTTCGATCCCGATAAGGTTCCTAGATAAGTACCTAATCGATCGCATCACTTCCAGGCGTGTCCGAGAAGCACATGTAGCTGTGGCTTGGAAAGCGTGCGAGACCGTGCTGGAGAAGCAGAATATTGCGGTCTTCTCTTGTTTATTGCATAGCAAGAGTGCAGCGCTGTGTGTGGGACTGCATATCTCAGAGGCTCACTTCGCTGCACGAGGAGGCAATGGCCTCCCAATCGGGTTAGATCAGTAGTATGTTCCCGGGGGCCCCGGTACGATACAAGATGCTCTTCCCTGAGTCGGAATGCACGTTTGATGACAGACATGCGAGCGAGACAAGGCTTGTAGAGAATGTAGGCCACCCGTTCGAGCGTTGTGATCTTTGTGCCTTTGGCGGTGGTAATAGTGTTGCGGTATCAAGGGCAAATGTGTATAGAGAGTATATTGTGTTGTTGTGTGTTGTTGTGCTGCTCTCCAAGGCTCGCTGCGGGGTCTGTTTTGATGACGTGTTTGTGATGCAGCTGAGGTAACGACATGAGGAAGTAGCACCAGACCACCGCCAACAATACGTGACCTGCTTCTCCTCTCAACCGTTACAAATAGTTATGTTTACTTCTCCCCAAGCCTCAATGTGTGCTTCGGGAACTCCAGCAAGGATTATGTCGTCTGGGGCAGCCGGCGCTTTTCATTGCAGGATTGTTGCAGATATGTATGTCAGTAGCCAGTCCCAATTTCCAAAGGTAGAGGAGCGGAGAGTCCATTTCGCGGCCATTGTGCGGTGTCTTCGTCTCCCAGGCAACGTCGTTCGGCTTTGGTGGAGTTGGCATACCGAGTCGCACATCAGGCTTTGATAACACTGCGTCTGAGTTGTGTGGGACAAGTCCAGCATATCTAAAGCCTACGCGAGTGTTCCCTAGTGTCAAAGCCTTTGTATAGATTGCTTTGAAGGCTGGTAGGAAGGTTTTTTTGTTGATGTGGTTGCTGCGACTGCGTGCTAAGGCTGAGATCTTGTCGCCATATACGCGCTTCAATGGCGAGAAGCAGGTGACGTCAAGTGGCTGCAGGAGGTGCGACGAGTGTGCCGACACCTTTTGCCTGCATGGCCGTAGTGGGCGGAGCCCGGTCCTGACATATACCTCATAGCAGATTCACACCTGTTCTGGATATCTCTATTCTTGCCTGCGTTGTTACACCAAGTCACGGGGTGTAGCCAGCCTTTTGCAAGCAACTAATATTAGAATGTTTAGCACTGCCTGCTGCTGCTATCTAAGTCCGTCTGCGGCCTAAGCACTATCTTTGCCCAAGTTAACACACAACTGTGATATCAACGCAGACCATTTTGCCTAAGTGTGATGCCTAACGTAAAGCACCACCGAGCCAGACACACCACTGAGCTAGACACTTTTTCTTGGCATTGTGAACACCATGTACAGGACAAGCAATTACTTACTACTTGCTGCAGAACCTACGTACAACGCACTTGCATTAGATGCAGACTCTTCTTCTACATCTTTCTAGCACGTATAAGCGTTGTGCCTAGTCTTCCCACAGTTACTACAGTGCTGTTAACCTGGCTGTGCTCTTTCTTAACTACTACTACTACGCGCTTTCTTTAACACTGTACAAGCTGCAGCTGCGCTTCTAGCTACTAACAATGCTGCTTCACTGTACTCTATTATGCCCCTATACTAGATCTGCTTTCTTTTTTAAGTCTTGCGCTTTATTATCTCTGCTAGTTACTCTTTAAGCTCCTATACACAAGCCTTAATAAGCACATTTTTATATAGCATCTCTTTAGCTCCTTTAATAAGCTTGAAGAACCCCTTATAAGTAGATATTAGTAACTATATAAAGTGCTTACTAATAAGCTTTAATTATAACCTAAATTTGTAGGTATTGCTTAGGGTTCTAGATTGCTATAGTATTTCTAGTAGAGGTATTAGTAGAGGGGTATAAAATTGCACTTTAAGCTAATTAAGGACTGCCTGCAGGTTAATCGGTTTTATAGTTCTTGTATATAAACACGTTAAAAAACGCGTCTCTAAAGGCTAGAAGGAAGGCTTCTTTATTAATATAGAAGACGTGTTAGGATGCTAAGGCTTGTACGCGTTAGGAGTACCTTAGTTTTAATAGCAAGAAATATACTATATTAAGTAGCTAAAGCATGTGTAATAAGTAAGGAGGTATATAGAGGGTAAGGACTCTGTTCTCCTAGTAGTAGTCCTTAAATTCCTAGTTAAGGTGGCTCTTATAGCTGTCTAAGATAAGCAGCCTGTGCAACCCCCTCTATTGCGCTCTTATATGCGCGTTAAAATGCTTTAACTACTTAAGACTAAGCATATTGTTAGTCTATCTATTCTTAGAGACTAAGAGCTTCTAGCTGTATAGGATATTAGTCTCCTTATACTAGGCAGAGATATAGACACGCCTAGACTGGCGGATGGGTAGGGTAGGGTAGGGTATAGGTATAGTCACGTGACTAGTGGGTAGGAACTAGGTAGGGTATACGAGGTACCCTACCCAAACGGTTTGGGTAGGGTAGCACGTGACTGGGTATAGGTATAGGTAGGGTAGCACGTGACTAGGTATAGGTATAGGTAGGGTAGCTAGGTAGGGTCTAGGAATGGGTAGTCATCAGCTATTTTTAGAAAGTTCTGCCAATAACTTTTATCACAGTGATTCATCACAGTGTG